CCCGCCCCCCCCGCCACGCCCGCGCACCTTTAGCCATGACCGCGGCGGCGCGGCCCGGCGCCCAGGAGCCCCCCGCGGCCGGGCTGCCCCGACGGTCCCCGAGGAGCTCCCCCGCCGAATCCAAACGCTCCGCAGGGAGACGCCGCGCTCCCCTCCGCAACCCCATTGGCTTAACCGCGTGCCGATAACCGCTTCCGCGCCCCCGATTGGCGCGCAGAGCCGCACCCCGCCCTCTCCCTGTCACACAGGGGTGGTGGCAGCTCCTGGGAACAGGGTTTAAATGTGCGTTCCCTGGACGCTGATTGGCCCGTGCGAAGGGCAACCGGCGCTCTGATTGGCGGCCCGGGAAGGAACGCCCCTTCCGCGGCAGGGCCCCGCCACGTGGGTAGGACGCCCCGCTGGGAGCGGGCCCCCGCCGGCCCGTCCGTGCCCCGCGGAGCGGCGAAGGGCGCCGCGGGGGGGGGGGCGGGGGTGTCGGTGAGACGTACCCCCCCTCCCGGCCGGTCTCGCGGCGCATCGGCATCACCCAGCGCCGTCCCGTCGATGCCTCCTCCCTCCCGCAGCTCGTCGCGGAGCAGATGGATCTCCGCTCCGGCCTCCCCGGCCGCGGGTGCGCACAGCCACCGCACAGCGGGGACCCCTAATCCTAACGGGGCTGTAAAGCTCTGCTTTGCGAAATTATCGGGCTGCTCTATGCCATGTCTAGCTTCAATCTCCCTGCTTGAAATTTAAGTCCATGAATTCCATCCTCAAAGCTTGCCTGGAGAACAGATACTACTCAAGTATTGGGCTTGAGCGTCAAAACCTGTCCCGTGCAACCCCCTGTTCCGTAACAAGGGCAGCTAAGACATGGCACCACTACAGAGCCGTCCCCAGGAAAGCGTGAGCAGCCTTCAGCATCGACGCCTTGATCAGGAGCTCACGACAGGTGCAGTGCATACACTTCAGAATCGGGAAAGTACGATTGCAAAGAGTAAAGCAGCAACAAGGGCATGCAGGTCGGGCAATGCTGCGGGTTTCTTCTTTGCTAGTGGATGTCATCATGGAAGTTAGGAAATGACCACACAGGGCCTCTTTGGTCAATTATATTGAACAACAACGTATGACTAGTCTTTCTTCTTATCTGCGTTGGCCCTTTTCGGGCTTATCTAACAACAGCCGCCTGTGTGCGCTCAGGATAGGGTCCCATAGTACGTGAGCTGTCGTCACAGGGGAAAGCTTCCCACCCACGGCTCATCTGCAGCCAAAGGCCGCTGCTTGTCCTGCGGGCATTCCTACAGCGACACAATTGGCCAGTACGGGATGGCGGTACAACTGAAAACTATCTCTGTCCTTAAGAAGAACAACAGAAAAAAAAACACCAACGCACTATCAACTTCAGCCAGAAACACCCAGAAGGGACGGCTGCATCCCTCCCGGACAAGACACGAATGCGGCGTGACTGCAGAGGAGATACCAGAAGGCAGCACGGTGATTCAGCCTACCCTCTCCTCATTTTGCAACAGTCCTCTGCATAACCAGGCACTTCGAGAAAAGGCCAAAGAAACCCAGCCCTGCATTGTCACCATCATTTATTATGTCTGTGTCTTCACTAACAAGGCACATGCATTTCACAGAAGGGCAACCAAAATGCACTAGGTGTTTTCCTGTAAACTCCATCGGACACAAGGCTGCAGCCAGCCAATGTCAGCTGGGCGTCATGTTGATGAACTTCTCTGTTAAGGCAGGTATACCAAGCTCTCCAGAAGAGCACCGGAGCCCTTGGCAGACACGGGTCTGATTTTTCCACCCCAATTCACACTGTTCTTTTCATACAGCTAGGATGTGACTGGAAAACACTCTTCATAAATCACTAAAGATGATTTCCTCCTTGTGGTAAGCGAGGAACCCTGTTCCTAATGTCTTGGGAAAGCTCTGGAAACACCTTTACTGTAGTTTTGCTCAGCTTTTGGGGGTTGGATATTTTTAATATTCATTTTATATACGTATATTAAACAAAGCAACAGAGTTTGCACTGAAGCTGTGTGGGCCGCCACTAGAGGGCAAAGCAAGCTAAGTAATTACCTTCCCCAAAGCAACAAAGAAAACAACGTCATCTCTAACGGGCCTCTGCTCTCAGCACGGTGGGATCACGCTACTAATTAACAAAATACGCTGATTTTACCCCCCCGAGCTCTCCTCAGGGAGTTATGGCCAAAAAGCCAGTACCGAGGGGAAGTTAAAAGGTTACCGCACGTAAGGCTATAGCCCAAAATAGGACGCGTCTGTCTGCAACCGCCCCTCACCGTGACTCAGGATACACAGCTGATGGGAAAGTGCCGGCCGACTCCCGTAGTCCAGAGGGAGCAGCACGACTCCCGCCAGCACCAGCTTTAAAACCCAGTGACCTAAATATTATCTCCCGTAGTATGCTCTAAGGGCAGCTCCTGAGAGCGCTACGTGTAATGCGGCAACGTGAAACTGTTCTGTGGGGGAAGGGATGAAAAATTAAATGAGCAAGGCGTTGGATTTGCTCAGGAAGGAAAGAAAATCTTCAGAGTAAATACCTTCAGTCTAAATTAACACTTCACCCAGTGTAAAAAAAAACAACTTATTTTTTTAGGACCGGTTACCTTTGAATTCAAAAATTCAATCGCTTTCAAATATACCAACAAGATGCTTGTGAAATATTTCCACCTAAGAGCAAGCTCTGGCTGTAGTTCTCACACAGCATCTGTCATATTTGCAATTAAATAAATATCACAACATTTACACAAATTACTTATTCACAAGATGAAATCCCGACAATTTGTGTTTCAGCCACTGTACCTCTCCGTTAGAAAGCAAGTAAAAACAATGCCCTAAGGGTAACTCTTGAGTGTTACATTAAGCAACATTATTTTATAAAGTTATATAGTAAAATGCCAGTAGGTGCTAACTACTTTCATAGATTATAAAATACAATTACTTTCAGAACAGCATCTACTAATGATAAAAAAGATCATCTCTGACCAAAA